GAAACTATATCAAATTTGACTGCAAATTCAATTGTATATTATTAGAGAAGCGATCCTTAAGTATTGACAAAAAAGATAACTTTTGGACCCTTATTTATACTGGTTTTGAATGAGATTAGACTATTTTTGGGACTTATTCAAAGATTATGTAACTCAGATTCAATGTTTCAAGAGTATGTCAAATTTTTAGGGCACTAGAAAATGCCTTGTAAAGCCCTAAATTGGTATTTTTTTAATTTTAGGATTATAAATTTTCTATTTTCAGATAAATCAGTCCTTAAAAGTCTAAAATTTTCCCTTTTTCCATTTATGGACAAATTTTGTTGAAGTACATGACCCTTTTGGAAATGTGTAATGAAGCTCTAGTGAACCATTTCCCCCCTTTTTTATTCTTTTTGCCCTTTAAATGACCCATGTTTAGACAATTGGTTGACATTATCTAATTTTTCCAATGTTTGGCCATATTAGGATGCAACTATAAAAATTTGACCACAAAACCACTTATGTATTATTATAGAAGCATTCCTCAATTTTTGAAAAAAAAAATTGGGACCTCAAATACACTATTTTTAAACATAACTATACTATTTTTGGAGTCCCATTAAAAAATAGCGTAACCTCGTTAAAAAATAATGTAACTCAGATGTAATTATTTTGAAATTTTGATAAATTTTTAAGACACATTGGAAATTACTTGTGAAACCCTAAATAATTTCTTTTTAATTTTTAGGCTTTAAATGACCTATGTTTAGTAAATTTAGCCCTTAAAAGGATAAAATTTTATAATTTTTCTCTTGTTTTACCAAATTAGTTGATTCCATATCAAATTTAGCCACAAAATCAGTTCTATATTATCATAGAAGGATTCTTACCATTTTAATAAAAAATATTTTGGGGACACTAAGTTATCTTATTTTTTGGGCTTGCTTAAAAATAAGGCACCTTCGTTCAAAAATAGTGTAACTCGGGCGAAATTACTTTAAAAAATTATCAAAATTTTAGGATACCTTGAAAATAATTTGTGAAAACCTAAATAACTATTGTTTCTATTTTAAAGCTTTAAATTTATCTTTTTCAGTAATTTCAGCACTTATAAGGCCCAAATTGTGGCAAATTAATGATTCTGGCAAATTAAAGTTTATTTTACAACCAATAATTGCAAAGTACCATATAAATAATCCCATACAATATTTTTGGAGAAGATAATTGCGCCATCAGTTACAGTAGTGTTTACAACAAGTTATTGTTTATAAGGTTTTTTGCATGAATATAACACATGTTGTGTATATAAAATCCTATCTGCAAATATAGGGTTTTAAAATATATTGTGATAATATAGTGTTTCAAAATTATAAGTTGAAATATAAAATCAAATATATAAATATACGATTGCCCATTCTTATACAGGTGGAAATTTACATGTACAATGATTATGTTCATATTGTTGGCTTATTGAACACTTTCTTTTAATCCTTCATTTTGTTGTTCTTTAATATGCATTATACTTCTAAAATATAATGCAACATGATAATCTTTCTACTGTAGTAATACTATTTACTTTTATCATTGTAGGTCTTCTTATAAGTTTTAATTATATAATATTCTTTAGAAAATAAATATGGATTAACTTGTATATATATATAATAGTGGTAGTGGCATGACAGCATGAATTTCATAAGTATCAAAACTACAGAATGAACAACTTTTTCTCTTTATATCTACCATAATTGTCTAAGATGATATTTGTATTTCTAATTCATTATGAGTATGAGGAAAAACTTATTAGTATTATCTTTTCTCCTTCGACTTACCTAGTTTCTAAAGTAGATTTTATTCCATTGATTATTTGATTACGGATGTAGAACCATTCATCAATATTCCTTATTCCTATCTCAATCATTTAACTAATAAGGAAGCTACAATCATCTTTTAATAATGAATTCATATTTTTCAATTTATTTGTTGTGAGCATAGTATATTGATGACTAAGAAAGTATACCGTTGTCAATTTCTCCTTCTCAAGTTCTAATATCGAAGGAAATTTTCACTATGATTTTTTTTCTTAACTTTTACGTGCATTCAACGAGCGAGCTTATATAAAGTATTAGGTTTAGTAGTAGCCTAGCTAGCTATGTACCATCTCGATCTCATATATCAATCATAAAATTTTTATAATGATAAATTATGTAATAATCACAATTTGCTTGTAAGAGATCTCCTTCGTAATTGAAAGAATTCATAGGCTACAACCACTTATAATGGTTTTCACAATTAAAGGATGAACCACTTCTATGAATTCCTTCTTTTAATCTCAAACATAAAAATATAATTAAAAATAATTTATTAGTACTATCAATAGTTGTTGCTATCATCAAAGCACAATATCAATATAAAAAAGAGATTGCATATATCTCTTAAAACTTTTAAGATATGCTTCAAAAGCCTAAAAATTGAAAATAAATTTTCAATTTCATTGCCATTTGAACATGAGTCTCTTAGTCCTCAATCTTTAATTATGTTAGAAATAGAATTACATCTATGATCGTAATGATGAGATATAAAGAGAAATATACTTTTGTATATGAACAAATACTAACAGACTATAACACGCAGCGGAATTAAATGGAATCACAATCAAATAAAATATCAAGATTTATGTGAAAAACCTCTCCAACGTGAAGGATAAAATCCATAGGGCAAACTAGGGATAATCCACTATAAGAATAATGAATATACAAATCTCGATCTTTTGGCTAAAACCCTAGTAACAATCATAAGAGAATAATTGAGATACAAGGATCATGTCACTGTACACAATATTCAAATTCTCCCCAAGTAATCACAACAAGAATCTACTGTAGATCTGATCTAACTTAAGACGAGAACACTGCTTAGATGATTGAGAATAGTCTCTCTACGTTGTCCTTGTTTTCTTCCCTTTCTTTCTCCTACTTTCTACCATTTTCTCTTAATTTTTAGAATCACGTAGTTGTTGCAAAATCTGTCTCGTTGCAATAGTTTTTCTCCCTCAAAAATCACAGCCACCACACCCCGTAATTTGATTTAGGGTTAGATTAGGAGAGAAGATGAGCCGTGGGCTGTTAAAACCTACTATGGGTTGAACCTATGGGCTGTTAGCCTAACAAGTAAAAGATCACTATAAACTTGGCTAAATATAACCTCTCATGCAAAATAAGCTTTTATGTAAGCTACAATTACTCTAACTGTTTTTCGAATATCCACAATAATCACGGTGGCCAAGACTTGATCTTTACTTTGCTGTACAATGAAAGTTGTGCTGTATTCTTTATGATTATTATTTAATCTTAGTAAATTACAATAGCACTTTTTAGAAAACTTTATCATTCTAAAACTTTCAATTCCATCACAAGCTACTGTCAACCATTCTTAACTAGAAACTATACATCAGATTTTTATCTTATAACTTCTAGTTACAATATGTTTGATCTCAATTTTTTTTTTGCATAAAATACTCTTTCAATGTTTTTGAAATTTCTCCATATCTTGAAGTACCTGTAGAAAGTTCACATTGGATTAGATATCCTTAAATATCAATATTAGACTACTTATTATAAATTAATATCATTAAAAAACCTTATGTATGATTTATATATGACAAATGAAAAAAATCCTTTTGAGGCAACTTCATCATTTTCAACATAAGGAATCATGATATTAGGCTACTATATTCAATCAACATTCCTTTAATATTATTATCATACATATCCTCCCTTAAAATAATTCACTCACTAATGACATCAAATTAAGTACAAATATCATGATCAATGTCATCTTCAACCTCTTATTCTTTCTTCATCCTATTCGTTTTCAAACACCACCACTTTTATCATCTTCATCCAGTGAAATGAATTATTCAAATCTAGGCTTTGATTATTATCATGCGAGCTACCTGACACTTATACTTTCACATAACCTTAATGTTTTACCTAAAGTATGATTATCGATATCATCAATGACCCAAAAAATGCTTCAGGACGAGGACAAATTAATTTTTCACTATGAGATCATCCCTGTTATAGTTCAACAATAACAATGAGATCATTAAAATGCAATAATGATCATCCCTATAATGAGATCATTGGAGTTCAATCCTCTTCTTTAGAAAGAGGATCGTCTCAACAATGACATCATTAGAACATAATAACAACGACAAAGATATAATCTTTAATAAAAAAATATACATTACAGTTTTAATTACATTAGACATCAAATATAACATACCATTTTAATCATTTTATATTATATTTTATAAAACAAAAAAAAGTGATTAGCATAGTGCAAGTCAAATTTTTTTTCACTTTGAAATCAATAAATAATATTCAAGGACTAATAAAACAGTAATTTACTGCCCAAGTCAACCAAAGAACATTTGTAATATTACTATATTCATCAAAACTCTACATTATTTTATACATCTTAACAAAGGAGCAACCACAAGGAGGTATATATATATACATATATGTATATATGTAACTAAAATTTCTCATATACTTACATGAGAAATATGATTTCTGCTTAGCAAAAGGAGAGAGAGAGAGAGAGAGAGAAAAAAAACGAGGACAAGAATAAAAAAAGAAAGGAGAAATAAGGTGAAGGCTAAGGACGAGAAAGTTAAGTAGATTTCTTTTATCTCTAAATCAAGCAAAAAAAAAAAATCACATCTCAAATCCAGTAAGATATATTATATTCATTAATTCGAACGGAACGAAAAAGTCAGTACAAAACTAAATGGATTTATGTGAGCTGGTCGTCAATTGGCCACTGTTTGAGCGAGAAAATGAAGCAGTCAAATATATATATATAACTAAAACGGTAAAGTAGGGAAAAAACAAATGTTCGACAAAATCCCAACAGGAGAACGTTTTACGCAAAACAATAAAATGTCAGGGACTTTTTCGAAGAAATCGCTCACCTATATAATGTGATCTCAAACAGAGAAGGGGAGATGCACGCAGGACTCCGTGCATAGGAGAATCCCTCTCTTTCTTCGGGTACTCCGTGGAATCTTTGGAACGAAGACGACCCGATCCCGTCTCCTTGCCCTCCTGAGTCCGATCGCCGAAGCTACCTCGATCGCGGTAACCCTAGCTCATGGCCTCCTTCCCCTCCACCAACGCCGCCGGCTCCGATCCCTCGTCTGGCGCCCTTTCCCCACGCGCCGCGCGCCACCCCTGGACTCACGTCGTTGGCGGTGATCCTGAGGCTTCTGCCACCGTCCCGCCTTCCCCAACCTTCACGCCGCCCCCGCCGCCGGCCGCGGTGATCCCCTCCGCCGTGTCCTCCGATCGATTCCCCCAGAAGCCGCCGCCGGAGGACGTGGTTGCATCGTCGTCATCGGAAGCCACCGCCGGAGTGAAGAAACCGGTCTGGAAGCGGCCACCCAATGGCTCGATCCACAAGGGCGCTGCCGTGATGGGTGGTGCCGCCTCCTGGCCCGCCCTCGCGGAATCCGCCAAGGCCGCTTCCAAATCTCAGCCTTCCGATGCTTTGAGAATCCTTTCAGATGGACCAGTCCCTGTGCCCTCGGTGAGATTGCCAGATTTGGTAAAAAAGAATCCGATAACTTTTTGATTGAAAAGATCTATATATAATGATTTAAACCTTGAATGCTATTCTAGTTAATCTTTGGTTATGATTCTGTATTGTCACCTAGGGGCTTCTTGTTTCAAATTCTTCACCTGAGCCAAACCCAAGTCCAACTTCAACCCTAAACTATGTGACACCTGAACGCCAGAAATCAATGAAACGTAGCGGCAGCGGTGGCGGTGGTAGCAGTGGTATATCCGCCGATGGTGGGATGCCGTTGCTCTCACCACCACCGACTTCAGGACCTATGCCTAAGAGGAACCTGGATAAGCAGGCTCCCATGGAACTCTCACCTCTGGACCAAACTACCAAGAACACCACCAATTGGGACCATGGTTCCAGGGGAGGTGGGTTGGGATCACAGGCCCATGGTAGTGGCGATCACCATAGAGGCTATGGTCGCAATCGGAAGTTGAACAATGGTGGTGGTGCTGGGTCTCACCAGAACAACTCTGGCAAGCGCTATGATGGATATCATAGGAATGCTGGTGGCAGAGATGTCCACATTCAGCAACAGGGTGCCTGGCCCCACCTCCGGTTACCTGTGCCGCCTGTGGCAGCCCCATTCCTCAGCCTTCCTCTGCAAGTCCAACCTTTTGGGAACCCCATGCTATATCCTGGTGAGTTCCATGGTATCAATGGATAATCTGAAGTATTTTTGTTCTACTGCTGGTATGTTTCATTTGTATTGGCAATGTTCTTGATTTGCCTTCAGATATGCCTTCTCCTATCTTTTATGTTGCCACTCAGCCACCTCCCGGGGTTGTGCCCTTTGTTCCTCATCCGTCAATTCCTCCTGCAATGTTTGTCCCAGCAATCAATCCACAGCGTGCAAGTTTGTTGAATCAGATAGATTACTATTTCAGGCAAATATCTGGTTCACAATTTAGTGATTATTTTAACATAATTCAAGGCTTGCTTAAGTGACAACATTTTATTTTGGCTTTTTCAGCTCTAATAATTTGTGTAAAGATGTTTATTTGCGGCAGAACATGGATGAGCAAGGATGGGTTCCCATATCCTTGATTGCTGGATTCCCTAGAGTGAGTGAGTTATAATTGCAACAACTAATATTTCCTTTTCTCTATTGCTAGTTTGAGTTCATTCGAATATCCTTTTGAACTTTGCTTAGTATCACCCTTTGTTTGTGTTTTTGTAGACAGTGGTTTTTCCATCTGTATGTTGAGCATGATATATTATTGAACTTTCTCCATCAGTTATTGAAGAACAGGGAATTCTTGTCTGCTTGATTGTGATGAATACTTCTATATTGATAAATAGCAATGATAACAATTAAGCATTTTTGTCGTAATCCATTACATTGTTCTATTTGCTTTTTCTGGAACTGGTATCTTTGGTTGGAAGGAGAAGGCTGTGTACAAGGACCTCTCCAGACCACATATCGATAGGAGTCTTGTGCACTAGGGCACTCTTTATATTGGTCTATTAATTGTCTGTACTATTAACTAGTCATTCTTGCAACCCATCATATACATTCATCTAATACGTGAATCATTTGAGCAACTTGTTTTTGGATTTAAGAATCTCTTGAAAATGGAACATGTAGACAAGATTCGGTTGTCACTTGTTGATATTTAGGTTCTAATACACACCAATTGGGCTTTTTGGGAAGAATGCAGTTCCCCACTTCATCCGTGGCAAGTTTACTCTCCATTCTTTGTCATGTTCAATGATTTGGTGTGGGCATTTTGCTTCTTCAGCAAAAATTGTACCTTCAGTGGTCCCTTAAGTATTTCTGTGAAATTCTTCATATAGAGAAATTCAAAATTTGAGCTAAAAAGGAATAGCATGAAACAATTGTTTCGGACAATTTCTCTTGTTATATAAGTGAAAATTTTTACTCTTAATCTGTGAAATGGAACAGATATATTTGTTACCAATGAATCTAAGCATTTACATCCATATCCAATTATAGTCAAACACCTTTTCCTGTGGATCACAATTCATAATATTAGTTGTTTCAAGGCTGTTTTGTGCCTACATTATACTTTGGTGTTTTGTGATACATATCCACTGTTGTTTCAGTTGTGGTTCAGTTGTATTTTGTGGATCCTGTAGTACTATAAAGTCTTCCAGGGATGATTATTCTAACTTTTTTTGCTGGAATTGAGATCAACCGGTTCTATCATGTTCTTGTAAGGACTGTTATCCTTCATTTATTTTTTCTTTAAAAATTGGGTAACACAGATAGACAAATATACCTGGGGCTAGCCACAGGCTATTAACGATACCATAAAATATTGATCATATGGAGTAAAAAGATTTATGTGCAACCAGATAGCAGCAATCACTTGGAAGTATTATGATCTGATCTGTTGGAACTTGTGATATGATAATTCTGTTTAATAAAAAATATAGCTTTTGCATCAGTTATGACATAATGGCTGCCATCATTACTCCATCTAATTGCACTCAACTTTGAAGACTTATTCAATTTTTATTTTGTCTTGTGGCTAAAATCTGTTACAAGTTCAGATTTTACCCTTGTGGATTATAACTCATTACAATAGGATTTTTTGCGGTATCACATAAAATGAATGTAGATAGTTTATCATGTTGATGAAAGCTTAAGGGACGAAGAGATGATCATGCAAGTATTATGATCTGATCTGTATCACATATGGAGTGCAAAAATTTATGTGCAACTAGATAGCAGCAATCACTTGGAACTATTATGATCTGTTCTGTTGGAACTTATGATATGATAATTCTGTTTAATAAAAAATATAGCTTTTGCATCAGTTATGACACAATGGCTGCCATCATTACACCATCTAATTGATCTCAACTTTGGACAAAGATATGATCATGCAAGTGATCATAATGACCTGAACATACAGTATATCTTATACAAAAGAAATGAAAACCTATCTTTTACTTATCAGGATTAGTTGTCATTCATAAATATATTAAAGAATGTGGTTCAAGACAAGGAAGGTCGTTTCATGTACTGGACCCATCGTTGGTTGGATCTGAACATATCGGTACATCAGTGTGTATCAATGTCTTGAGTAGGAAGAAGGAGAAGAGGAAGGAGTGGCGGAGGAAGAGGAGGCAGGAAGGCGGAGGAGGAAGGAAGAGGAAGGAGGAAGAGGAGGTGGTGGAGGAGAGGAGGAAGAAAGAGGAAGGGAGAAGAGAAGGCGATGGAGGATGACGAGGAAGAATAAGATGAGGAAGTGATAGAGGAAGAAGAGGAGGAGAAGCAGGAAGTGTACCGGGGAGGTATATGGAGTGGTGAGCGACAGCGATGAGTAGGTAAGAGGCATCGAACAATAGTGGCTTAGGAGTGATTCTATACTCCCCACATACGGAGAAGAGGACTCACATTCGTGAGCCCTATTCAAACCAAGGATTGTGTTTCAAATGAGCAATGATACCGGTCTGGGTGTGAATTGGCATGCGAGTACCCCCATTTTGGGTGATTTGCTCCGACCCATTAAAATGTATTTTCCCTATCCCATTTAAACATTTTTAACGTAAGCCCTCTTCTCTCGAATGCGAGCGCATGTCACCTTGTAGAATGTGAGCCCTCTTTGCGCAAATTGGAGAGCGAGGCGACACGCCTTGTTTATCGCTCACCGGGCTTCATGGATAGGTATGCCTTCTCTTTTCTTCCTCTTCCTCCAACGCATCCTCTCCTTCCTCCTCTTTCTCCACCACCTCCTCTTCTTCCTTACTCTTCCTCCTTCCTCTTCCTCAACCATCTCCTCTTCTTCACTCCTCTTCCTTTCACATCTTCCTTCCTCCTTCCTCTTCCTCCACCGCCCCTTCCTCTTCTCCTTTTTCTTCTTCTTTGAAACACTGGTACATATTGGTGTATCATGTATCTATACATCGATATCAACTAGTAATATTGGTCCAACCAAATCATCAAAATGAGTACAATATCCAAAACGATGATCCTTGAATCAAACACTAAGTTTTTTTATAATCTTTCTAATGGTCAGACCGAACTACCCAAAATGAGGGTGGTCCGGAACCAAAATGGTGATCCATGAACCACACACTTTAAGTTTTTCTTAAAATTTTCTAATGGTTGGATACTTGGATTGGACTACTTTAAACGAGGGTGGTCCACGTACCTGTCCATGGTATGTATTGCTCATTTCATACCAGTTGGTGACAGGGAGAACCTTGGTTCTAGATCCTATTTTTATACTTAGGAAGATTCAGTTGTTGATCCAGGAGGAATATTCATTAGCTGAAGTCCTAGTAACCATAGGTAGGGCATTTTTTCACTTGTTAGTGGGTCCAATCTGTATGATATACACTTGAGGCTTGTTTGTTAGGAACATTAAATTAATAAGCAGTTCAAATGAAGTTATGGTTTGATGGGGTTATTGATTTAGTTTTAAAATTAAATTTCAAAATACAAGATTATAGGAGATTATTGAAATAGATAGTTTAACCGCTAGGTAAGTCCAACTAAATGCTTCTATTTTTTTCTGTGTTTCTTGAATCATTTAAGATTTGAGAGAGAGCATTGGTGTGATAACTTCAATATGTCTGACAAGCATTATCTTCATGGGCCATGGACTAGAGGCTAACATAAACATTGCTGCACCTTGTTATCTAGTAGTTCAATTTTAAAGGATGTTTTCTGAGCCACTGTATTTTGCAAGGCACTGTTTAGGTCTTCGAAGCAAGAATTTTAATTCTATTATTAATGACTTTGTAAGTAGTAAACAATCCTAATATGCTTAGGTCATGCTGGCTTGGAACCACTATTTAGAAACTTGTGGAGAAAGAATGAAGAAAAGATGTGGATAAAGAGTAGGGAATAAAATAAGTTTTTTTGCTGACCAGTAGGAATTACACCTTGGGTATATCTACAAGCCTCTGAGAGCTATTCTAGGAAACTACTAAGATTGTATAGTCAATATTCTAGGAGGTTTGATATCTAGCAACTCATTACTAAGGAAAGAGATAAAATTAGAATATCATACAATAAGCAAATAGCTAAAATTAGAATCCAAAAAATAAGGAAACAATATCAATCCTCTCCCTCAAACTGGTTGAAAGATGTTCTCCATCCCAGCTTGCCTAGAATAAATTGGAAAGTAGAGCTTAGCAACCCTTTAGTGGGAAAATCTGCAAGTCGATTGGAGTAACATAAGGAGTGCAAATCTCTCCACTTTTCATTTTTTCTTTAGTGAAGTATTGATCTATTTCCACTTGTTTAATTTGGTTATGGTGGACTAGATTATGAGCAGGTCTATTGTTGTCAAGTGCAACTTAGGCCTTTCCAGTTTTATCCCCAAATTTGAAAGAATCAATCATATCCTGCTCAACTCATATATACCTTGAGCCATTTTTTTGAATTCTGCCTCAGCACTTGATCTGGCAACTACATATTACTTCTTGCTTCAACATATAATAAGATTGCCTCCAACGAAAGTACAATATCCACTAGGGATCTTTGGCATGTGACAGGCCCAACCCATGCTGCATCAATATAAGTTTCCACTTGCACTTTCCCAATTTTCTCCATAGAATTCCTTTCCCAGAGCCTAAATTTAAGTACCTAAAATTTCCAGTATTCAGCTTCCATGTGCTTTACTCATGGTGCATTCATAAATTGAGTAATTACACATATACAATTTCCTTACATGTATGAATAAGGTAAATTAGCCTTCGAACAAGTCCTTGGTGCCTTTCTTGGCTAGCAAGTTCTTTAGGGTCATCTCATAACTTGTGATTCGTGTCAATTACGCAATGTGCAGGTTTTCGACCTAGCATCCCTATCTCCTTGAGTAGATCCAGAGTATATCTGTGTTGGGACAAGAAATTTCCTTGTCAGGAATACACAACTTCTATTTCAGGGAATATTTCCTCAAATTATTAATCTTAAATTCATTTGCTTGATGCTTCTTGAGCTTCTTAATCTCATCTTGTTCGGTCATAATGATGTCATCTGCATAGACAATTCAAGCAGCCAATTTATTTGAGGTTTTCTATTCGTAAAGAGCGTGTGATCACCATGACTTTGTCTACATCTGAACATTATCACAACCTTTGTGAATCCGTTGAACCATGCTCTAGGAAGTTGTTTAAGATTTTCTTATAGGACGATGATAGCATTTGTACCCTTTTGTGTGGATGAGTAGCCAAGAAAAACATATTGAACAGTTCTTGGTTTAAGTTCTGTTTGATGTTGACTGTGAACTCGAACAAAATAGACACACTCGAACATCTTAGAAGGTAGTCTACCATTCCTTTTTAAAGGTGGAATATTACTCAAATAATCCCGAGGAGTTTGCAATTATGGACTTTAGTGGGTAGATGAGTATCTTATTGATTAAATAAATGGCTATGGAAAATAGCTTCCCCGAGTAAGCTTTTTGCCTCTCATTTGGAAAAGTAAAGCTCTTGCAACGTCATGTGTCGGGTTTTGCTCTTAGCAGCTTCATTTTGTTAAGGACTATTTGTAGCTGATGACTGTTGAATGATCTATTATTTGTAACAAGAAAAGATTAACTCACTATTGAAATACTCCTTCCCATTATTTAAGCGGAGAAAATGAACATAAAATGAATTTTGGTACTGACTACAAATTTGTTATTGAGAAGATAAACCCATGTCAATCTAGTGCGATCATCTATAAAATGAGACAAACCATCTAGCATCAGAAATATTAAAAATTCTATATTTTCCACATACATTAGTATGAAGACATCTTATTTATTGGAAGGAAATTAGCTCAATGATGTTTTGCCATTTCACAGATTTCACAATGGAAAGATAATTTATTCAAATAAAAAGAACTTTTTTTGTATAATAGATAATGAAAGATGACGAAGCCTTTTGTGCCAAAAAATGATATCAGATTCTTTAAATGAGCAGGTCATATCTGCCTGTAGTCTCAAGGTAGTAACTCCATACTCATCTTCCATATAGCTTGGTATTGTGGTGAGAAGGTCAGAAAGTTAATGAATAATCTAGATCTCAGACCTTTTTTATGGATGTTTTATGGGCTTAGATCCGTTTCATTTTGCTTCTGGTTTCTCGATCTTCTTTCATTTCACTGCTGAAGTATCCTCATGCTGTATGGAAAACTGCTCTTACAATGTTTTGCAGGTCAGGCAATTAACAAACAACATAGACTTTATACTGGAGACAGTGCGGTCATCAACTGAAGTGGAAGTACAGGTACCTTCTATAATTTTCAATTAACTCTTGCATTCAACTTTCATTGTCATACATTGTGTCTAAATGTTTTTTTCCTTTTCCACTACATGCATAAAATGTGACATACTTTTCATGGCCATATAATCCAGAAATAAAACTAACTTTATTCAGTTCAAATTTTAAATGTATCATAAATAACAATGTTTGACAATAAGGAAGATCAAGTCCTAATGGTTTGTATCGAAAACTGCAAAATGCTAAATCGTCCATGTAGTGCTACCGAGTAGTAAATGATGAGTCTCTTTGCACTAGAGTTGGAACTGAAATATGAAGCTGCTCTAAAGAACAAAAATAATAGATTTTAGCAATGCAGAGCCCCTCAAAAAATGTAATAAGAACAGGAATATATCAGGAACAAATATCAGTAAGTTCTACAATAATATCGAATCACTCTATCATAATCTTAGTAGTCACAGGTCATGCAATCTCATAAACCTTTAGCGTATGTTAGACATCAGATTGTGCACTCTCTTAGCTGATGAGGAGGCCCTACCTTATGGGATAGGCGTTATATTTTTTCAACCGATATGAAAGACAATCCATCTTGCGCTACCCCATTTGCTGATAGAGGGTGTTTTCCAAGGGAGGACATGTTCCTCTTGACATCTGATGGAGGAAACATTTGGACAGCTCGGTAAATTCCCAAAAGGAATTAATATACTAGCCTTTCTGATCAAATCAAGATCAACAAAATTTCTCGTATTATATCGGGCACACTTATCATAACATGACATATGATCAAGGATTGAAATTTTGTACCATATCGGAGTTTCAAGATTTGCTCGGTATGATACGGTACTACTGTATACCGAGCGGTATATATATATATATATATATATATATATAAAAGTAAAAAAAAATATTTTTCTACGACGTCGCCTCTCTTCTCCTCATGTGGGGCGACATCGCCCAGAAAAACGAGGCGATGTCGCCTTTATACACACACACACACACACACATATATATATATATATATATATATATCAGTGTCTGCCGTACCTAATCGTACCGCCT